AATCTTTCATTTGGTCACCGGCACTACTGGAGGGAGATTTTCGGGGGCAACGCAAACCAAAATAGGAGTGTGTAAGACGTGAAAGGGGTATAATGAATGGAGATGGACGAATCTTAGGCTAAGGACCAGTAGGAGTAGCGTTGAACTCAGTCGGAATGATCAGATAAAATGACACTCGAGGGCATAAGGAAATTAAGCATTAACATGACATTCAACCAAGCAAAGCCGATTCAATGTACCAGAATGACCAGCCTCAAATAACATAAAGCATCGACTTTCACCCGATGCAATATTGTCTGCAAGGGAGGACTTTCATCATTTTCTATCTTTCCTCTATCTTTGTTCTTCCTCTATTATATCTTCTCATTTTCCTCTTTGACCGTCTATCGAAGGAGTACTGACCATAGGCGTAGGAACAGGGGGGGCCGGGGGGGCCATGGCCCCCCCACTTTCGGAGGTGGGGGGGCCAGCAATGTTAACTGGCCCCCCCACTTTTTGCTGACTTAAGTGTCTGTCTGTACCTAGGTACCAGTGCTACCACCCGGTAACTTGACAACAATTTAGCTTGCCCTTTAATGAAGATTCCCTTTTGTTTCTACAGCGTTATTGACAGCAATTTCCTTCACTCAATGAAGGACACCATATCAGAGACAAGACTGTGGGTCCTGGTGACAGCATTTTGTTGAATACCAGGCACGGGACAGCGAGCACTGAGAAGGTATAAGACAATACTAGCACGGTGCAGGAGAATGCGTATACCAACGACCAACGCTTGACCGGATCTGCTTGGGGTCGGCATAGTTCGTCAAAGGCGCACTAGCTGGGGGCCAGGGTGACCATGCCCCCGCCTCGGCTCAAACAGGCTGGGGGCCAGCAATGTCTGTATCTGCCCCTTCCCTTCCACTTTCAGTGCAGTGGCGGTCGCAGAGGGGGAATCAGGGCCATGCCCTTCCCCCCTCCAAAGGCTAATCAGGGGGCCATCATATCATTTGCCCCCCCCCCCCCCAAACAACCAATGGGCCCCCATGGGCGTATGGGGCTCTGGCCCTTATTCGATTGTCACGAGGCTCAAGAATCCCACGCTAGCTATTAACAGCTCCCAAGCCAGTCTTTGAGGGTCCTACACTGATCTTGGAGGGCACTTCAGTGGCGGTCAAGCGCCGACATCGACCGCTGAGAACCCACATTGACCTCATTTGAGGGCCCCTAAACCGGCCTCAAGGGCCCAGTCGGCGTCTGAGGGCCTCACACCGGCCTCTGGTGGCCTCATTTCTGTCTCTGGGGTCCCAAGACTAACCTTTAGGTGCCTCTGAGGGTCCTGCACTGAATTCTGATTTCTGAAGACCCGATGCCGGCCTCTAAGGTCCGCATCGGCCTCTGAGGGTCCATCTTGGCCTTAGAGGTCCAACGCCGGCCCATGCCGGTCTTTTAGGGCCCCACACTGACCTCTAAGGGCCCATGCTGGCCTGTAAGGACCCGTCATTAGCCTATGAGGGCATAGTACGGGATTCTGAAGACCTGATGCCGGCCTCTGAGGCCCATCTTTGTTTTTGAGGGTCTTCTGCTGGTCTCTGGGGTCCAAACCGGCCCATGCTGGTATTTTAGGGTCCCACATTGACCTCTAAGGGCCCCGCACTGGATTCTGAAGATCCTATGCCGGTCTCTAAGGGTCCGCATCGGCCTCTGAGGGCCCACCTTGGCCTATGAGGGCCTTCCGCTGGTCTCTAGGTTCCAGGTCCCGCCCATGCCGGTCTGTTACGGCCCCACACTGACCTCTAAGGGCCCATGCTGGCCTGTAAGGACCCGCATTAGCCTCTGAGGGCCTTGCACTGGATTCTGAAGACCCGATGCTGGCCTCTGAGGCCCATCTTGGTTTTTGAGGGCCTTCTGCTGGCCTCTGGGGTCCAACACCGGCCCATGCCGGCATTTTAGGGTCCCACACTGACCTCTGAGGGCCCATGCTGGCCTGTAAGGGCCCACATTAGCCTCTGGCCCAATTCGGCATCTAAATGTCTCATCCTGCCCTTTGCAGGCCCTGTACTGGTCTCTGAGGGCCTCAACCCTCACCGGCCGATGGGGGGGGGGGGAGGATGCCGCCCCTCCATAGTTTTTTTTTTCGCGATAGCTCCGAACACGCCGGTGATAGAGAGCTGAAGCTTGGCATACCTGACCTTTGAATCAAGCCGGATCTTTTGACACCAACCGCATTTTCGGGTCAGATCAGGTCACTGACCCATGAGGTCATAAGTGAACCTCTGCACGGTCTTCAGATGTCGCAACTTCGCAACGCCCTCACTGCCAGAGGAGATTTCACAGGGAAATGAACCTTGGAGGACCTAGTATCCATTAGGAGTCTCACAACTTGTACATCTCGGATTTTTCCTAAGGTCATTTTCGTGACCTCACCATTAGGTATAAGTCAATGGGGATAAACTGAAAAAACTTTTTTTCAGTTTATGGGGATAAACCAGAAAACTTTTTCTGGCGCCGTAAACGATCTTCAACTATCTCAAGTACACTGAATCTTTCATGCACTCCTTGCAAGGTTCGATGCGTCACTTTTGCAATGTTGACCTTGCGCGACGTCATTTATGAAGTTATAAGGGTCATATAAGTTTGTCGTCAATAACTACCGATCAAATTGAGCTAGCGAGTCGGGGAAGCCATCAATAGACTCAGGAAGACCTGCCGAATCGAATGATATGCGACATGACCTCCTTCGACCAATTTCGTGACCTGGGGGCGCTGACCTGACCGTGACCCGTGGTCAACACCCTCAGTTTACCTCACCCAAACAAAAAGTACATCATTCGACGCGCCTGAGAGAGGCAAACACGATGCTGGCAAAATCGCGGCTCTGCGGCCGTTTTTTTTTTTGCGAAGTTATTCACCAAAAACGGAACCGTGCCTTGAGGCACTTGACCTGACCTCAGAGGTCACCGGTTGACCTAGAACCTTAAAATCGGGTATCGATCTCTGCGTCTTGTAACGGCGCACACGCTCGTTTTTCCGCGACGCGCTAGCTCAACCTGGGGCGCAACGGCGAGGGGGGTCGTACCCGCCTCCCGCCCCCTCGGCTGGCGCGTATGTAGAAAACCTATAGGTCCGGTCCGGCGAGGGTTAAACTGGCCTCTGATGGCCCAGACCGACCTCTAAAAGTCCCACACCGGCCTCTGATAGTCAATCAGCCCAGTTGCAGTGGTCGCTGATATAAAACCTCTTAAAAACGTTATAGGTCTGGCTGAGCCTAGCTGGGCCGTTCATGCTGATTTTTATAGGTATATTGAAAAGACTCGCTTTGCACGTTTCACGCTTGCTCGTAATGAAAAAGTTGCTGGATGCCTCTGGAATTTGCATGGGTGCCAACGGCTGCGGAGGACAGGGGAACGCGTCCATCAATTTGAGTTTATGGACGGGAGTCTCCCTGAAATTTTAACCCATTTTGTTTTTGTTTTTGTCTCGATTTTTTTATCTCTGATCATGTTTGCGAAAACAAAGTGGCCGAAATCCGAGGAGAAATCGGATTTTGGGGGTAGGTTAGGTTTTGGACCTCTGGGACCTTGGCCCCCCCACTTTCGAAAACGTTCCTACGCCTATGGTACTGACTGTCGTGTGTTCGAGCCCTTTTCCTTTATCCTCCCCGTGCCTACACTAGTTTCCTTTCCGACTTTTAAAGTATCCTCTGTCTGGTAGCCCGTCCTGAATCCTTCACATTGCGCTGTATAAACCGAGTTGATTTCGCCCCCGTTTCGTCCTCGTGGTGGAGTTCCGCCCTGACTGCCGCCGTGATTGTGACGCCGCCACGTGTTGAGAGTGTTGGGAGTCGCCGCCGCCGCCGAAGAGAATATAAAGTAACATCAATTCAACTCTTTCTTGACAACGAACCGGCTATTTTTTATTGTTAATTCACCACATAGTCCTCCGCTGGCCGGATCAAGATTTGCTTTTGGTTGTTCTTTGCTTTGATTTTGATTGAGATTTTGATTTTGAGATTGAGATTGAGATTGTGCCTTCAAGATTTGAGTGTTTCTGTCAAGAGCTGTGATGGAGGAAAGTGAACTGCGCCAGAAGCGAACCTTAGCCAGAGGTAAGGTAACCAGACTTTTGCGTGACCTCTCTGCCAGTGATCAGTCGCAGGAGGATGAGCTGGCCCTACGCATTCACCACCTCGAGATGCATTATGAGCACATGCTACAGCTACAATGTGAACTTGACAAACATGGGATCGAGGATGATAGCTCACACATGCAGGATGCGTATGATGCTCTCTTCAAGGCTAAGCGTGTTCTAGCCAGGCTCGAGAGGGGAGTAGCTTCTGCTCCAGTACTGCATGAGCGCCAGAGTGCTTTTAAGCTTGAGCTAAAGCTGCCTGAGTTTGACGGAGCAGTTGACACATGGCCTGAGTTCTGGAACCTGTTCAGAACTGCTGTTCATGACAACAGAGCTTGTTCCCCAGTGGAAAAGTTTGTACACTTGAAACTGTACCTGACTGGGAGGGCACATGCAGCTATCCAGGGACTGCCGTTGACTGATGCTGGATATGTCAAGGCCATTGAAACCTTACAGGAGAGGTTTGACCGTCCGGACCTGCTGAGGGAGTCACTGATGCAGAGACTGTTGAACACTCGCTGTGTCCCTGATGACCATGACCTTCTGCAGCTGCGTCAGATGGTGGATGGTTTGGTGTCTGATGTTCGTGCACTGGAGACGATGGGTGTGACTGCTGAGTCGTTTTCTGTGCTTCTCATGCCTGTGCTGAAGTCCTGTGTCCCAGAGACGTGGAAGCTGCAGTGGATGAGAGCGCAGAGTGGTGTCTCCGAGAACCTCCCAGACTTCCTGCAGTTTCTGCAGAAGGAGGTGCAGATGAGAGAGGATGCAGCTGCACAAGGGACACCAGCCGCCAGCCCAGCTGTTCACCAGAGTCAGCCGTCCCAGCCGAGATCAGCGAGGTCAGCCACCAGTGTCCTCAGGATACAAGGCAGGTCAGGCAGGGCTGGTTGGGTTTGTGGAGTGTGCCAGAATGGGAGGCATGGCCTCTCTGCATGCCCCACTTACAGGAGCATGGATGTCGCCTCACGCTGGAGGGCTGTCAGACTGGAGGGCCTGTGCTATCAGTGTCTGGGGCCACACATGGTGCGAGTGTGCACAAGCTCTACATGTCCCAGGTGCGGTGAGGCTCACCACTCATCTCTGCATGATGCGGGAGGGTCAGCTGCCCCTGTGCGCCCACCTGCTGCCCCTGTGCGCCCACCTGCTGCCCCTGTGCGCCCACCTGCTGCCCCTGTGCGCCTGCCTGCTGCCCCTGTGCGCCCGCCTGCTGCACCGGCTCGCCAGGGCTTTGCTCGTCAGTCGCCCGCTGCGCCCCACCCGCCTCGTGCTGTTGACCGCTCAATGCACGCTGTAACGTGTACAGCGCCTGCTGCTGCTGCTGCATGGTCGCCTGGCTGGCCTGACCATCTGACCTTCCAGGACAGTCAGACGCCAGCGTGGACAGAGAGAGCGCCTGTTGAGCAGCCGTCTGGAGGTGAAGTGACTGGGCACACCTCTGCCGTCGGTCCGTCCGTCCAGTCGCCCAGCGCAGCTGCCGTCCAGCCGCCCTGCCAAGCCACCAGCCCTGGTCAGGGTAAGCACCTTTACAATGTGAACGCTCAGAGCAGCTGCTTTGTTCAGACCGTGTTGGTAGAGGTCAGTGGACCGGGAGGTGTGTGCCAGGTGCGCGCACTCATCGATGGAGGCTCTGACTCTTCGTTTATCAGGTCGTCTCTAGCAGAGAAGTTGGGCCTGGAGACTGAGGAGCAGGGAGTCTTCGCCTGCGTCGGGTTCATGGAGAGGACTGAGGAGGCCAGAGTCTACGACCGAGTGTCAGTTAAGTTGACTGGCAGACAAGGAGGTGAGGCCACACTGTCTTTTTGGAAAACTGATCGCCTGTGTGTACCTGTTGGGACGTACAGCCTGCCTGAGAACCTGTCGCTGCCCCCAAGTGTCGTGCTCGCTGATGACTACCGTGAGGGGCCTGTGGATCTGTTGATCGGGTGTGATCAGATCTACCAGGTTGTGATGTGGGACCAAGTGGAGGTTGGGCCCGGACTGCGCCTGATTGAGACGGTGTTTGGTCATGTTCTCCATGGGCAGGCACAGAACCAGCAGACTGAACAGAGGCGCGTCTACCGCTGTCAGCTGGCTGACGTGGAGAGGATGTGGAGCCTGGACGCCGTGGGAATCTCGGCGAAGGAGACTGCAGACGAGGTGCCACCTGAGCCGACCTGGAACCCAGAGGAGCAGCGTTACGAGATGGGTCTGCTCTGGAAGTCGGACAGCAGGCCGGCCTCCAACCTGACGTCTACGGAGCTACGCACCCGACGTCTGGTCTCCAAGATGAGTACCGACGAGCTCGACAGGTATGATCGTCATATCTCCGAGTTGATTGTGAACGGTGTGGTTGAGGATGCCCCTCTCACAGATGACCCTGATGACGCCTTCTTCCTGCCGCACCGGGGTGTTGTCCGGGGTGATAAGCTGAGAGTGGTTTTCGACGGGTCCGCTCCTGATGCTACCGGGTGGAGCCTGAACGAGTACCTGAGCCCGGGGGAGAACCTGTTGAGCCGTCTTCCCTCTGTCTTGCTGAACTTCCGCACCAATGCTGTTGGTTGTCAGGCAGACATTCGAGCCGCCTTCCACCAGATCGTCCTGAAGGAGGAGGACAGGCGCTACGTGCAGTTCCTGTGGGGAGACCGCCACCTGCGCTTTCAGAGGGTCCCGTTCGGCGTATCCTGTTCGCCGTACATGCTGTTGCGCACTGTGTGCTGCCATGTCCGCCAGTGCCTTGTCTCCCAGCCGGAGCTGATGCAGAAGGTGCAGGGAGCGCTCTACATGGACGACCTGTGCCCGACGTTCGGCACCAGAGAAGAGGCGGCTGCTGGGATGAAGGAAGTCAGCAGCGTCTTCAGCAAGGCCAGGATGGAGCTGCACAAGACCCGCACCACAGGTGATGTGTCCTCCGAGGACTCAAAAGTGTTGGGTCTGGCGTGGAACACAGAGACTGACAGACTCGCTGTGACCGTGCCTGAGATGTTGTGTCCTCGCACCTGGGGTGAGCTTCTGTCCGCAGTGGCAAAGCCGTTTGACCCGTTGGGCCTGCTCACCCCGTGGCTCGTCAGAGGGAAGGCTCTGTTCCAGCGGACCTGGTCGGTGGAGCTGACGTGGGACGAGCCGCTGCCTGACGCGCTGCAAGCAGAGGTCGCCGCCTGGTGGCAAGATTCTGCCGGCAGCACAGTCTCCTTCCCGCGTGCTGCGATGATCGGTGAGACCAGTCTGGGCACGCAGTATCATGTCTTCTGTGATGCCTCCAAGACCGCCTACTGTGCCACTGTGTATGTCTCTCAGGGTGGGGAGTCGCAGTTGTTGATCTGCAAGGGACGACTGGCGCCGATCAACCCGAGCCTGACTGTCCCCCGGCTCGAGCTGATGGCGGCGCTGACCGGGGCCCGACTTATGGCCTTCGTGACTGAGTCACTGTGTCTGTCAGCACCCAGTGTGACGTACTGGACTGATTCGACAGATGTCTTGTGTTGGATCAAGAGTGACAAACTGTTCCGCGTGTTTGTTCAGAACCGTGTGACTGCCATCAGAGAGCTGACCGATCCTGACCGCTGGCGGTTTGTCCGGGGGCTTGAGAACCCAGCCGACCTGGGTACGAGGGGCATCACCCTGTCTCAGCTCGCAGTGTCTGCGAAGTGGTGGAACGGCCCGCCGTTCCTCGTGACCTCTGACCTGCCTCCTCAGCCAGACCCGGTGGAGACGGTGAGCCCTGAGGCCGACGTGGAGGAGAGGAGGGTGGCTCCTGTGACTCGTAGCCACCCTGTGATGCAGAACGTGCCGTCGGTAGAGACTGCTGATGACGCGTTCCAGGCCACCGATTTCTCAGATCTTGGAGCCGCCGTGAACAGGATCGCGTGGCTGAAGAGGTTCGTCCACAACGCCCGGAGTCCTGAGACTGAACGTCAGTCCGGACCGCTGTCGCCAGAGGAGAGAAGAGAGGCGCTCGTGTACTGGATCCGGGAGGCCCAGCGGCGCGCCTTCCCGGAGGAGCTGCGTGCGGTGAGAAACGGGACTCTGCTGCCGGTGAGTTCCCCGTTAGCCAAGTGTGTCTTGTGCATCAGCGATGATGGACTGTTGTGTTCCGTGCCAAGGACCAATGAGCCGCCGCTGATCGTTCTCCCGGAGTGGGCACATATCACTGTGCTGATCGTTGACGAGGCGCATCGCCGCTGTTTTCACCAGGGCACGAGAGTGACGCTCGCGCTCCTGTCAGGCGAGTACTTCATCCGCAGGAGGACGGTGCGCCGAGTGCTGGGGACCTGCTTCAGGTGCCGGCGGTACAGAGGACTGCCCTACCGAGCTGCGGACGGCCGTCTGCCTGCATTCAGGTCAGAAGTCTCGCGCCCATTCTCCAAGGTGGGAATCGATTACTTTGGCCCTCTGTATGTGGATAGAGACACCAAAGTGTGGGCGCTGCTGATTACCTGCGCTTCGTCTCGTGCCGTCCACCTGGAACTGGTGCGGTCTCAGAGTGCCGCTGATCTCACCCTGGCGCTCAGGCGTTTCATGGCCCTGCGAGGAACGCCCAGTCTGATTGTCAGTGACAATGCCCGTACTTTCCGTGCTCTCGTCAGTCATGTGCCACGGTCAGTCAAGTGGCGCTTCATCCCCGAGGCCGCCCCGTGGTGGGGCGGGTTCTGGGAACGGCTCGTCGGTGTGACCAAGAGCGCCCTGAAGATAACGTTGCACCAGTGCCACCTGTCGTATGATGAACTGGCTGTGACGCTGTATGAACTTGCGTTTCACCTCAACCTGAGGCCCCTGACCCCTAGTGATGGAGATGATTTACTTACCCCTGCTCACCTGTTGTTTGGGGTTACCACCATCTCCGGTGTGGTCTGTCCCAGTCTTGACTCTGACTCCCATGTGGGCAGGACCTGGCGTAACCGGCGCCGTGTGAGTGACTGTCTCGTCCGTCGGTGGACGACCGAGTACCTCGAGACGCTGAGAGGCTGGGCCGCGTCACCGCGCGGCCGCCCCACTCGCCTGCCCGCGGTCGGCCAGGTCGTCCTGCTGCAGGGCGAAGGACGCCGGGGCACGTGGCCCCTCGCCCGGGTGGTGTCGCTCATCCCGGGACCGGACGGCCGCTGCCGAGCGGCTTTTCTCCGTGTGCGCGGCAAGCTAACGCGGCGGCCAATCTCCCGACTCTTCAGTCTGGAGGCCGCCGAGTAAGACTCTCGTCCGCGCGCCTGTCGGTGTGTGCGCGGAATGGCGACTGACGTGCCCGAGTGCCGAGTTGTGAGCTCGGAATGGCGACTGACGTGTCAGAGTGCCGAGTTGTGCGCGCGTCAGAACCAGAGTTCCGTTTCTGTGTGCGCTGATTGCACGTGGTTGTGCTCAGTATGTCATGTGAAGTGTCGAGACGGGTTTAAGCGCTGTGATTTGTTTTGTGAGTCTGTCTGCGCACTTGTATCGTCGCGAAGCGCCGAGCTGGCTGCTCGCGGTCCGCCCTGTGTTGCCGACGCTTGAGCATTGGCTTTTGCGAAGTAACCAGAGTTACTTCGGGTGGGGAGTATGTCGTGTGTTCGAGCCCTTTTCCTTTATCCTCCCCGTGCCTATACTAGTTTCCTTTCCGACTTTTAAAGTATCCTCTGTCTGGTAGCCCGTCCTGAATCCTTCACATTGCGCTGTATAAACCGAGTTGATTTCGCCCCCGTTTCGTCCTCGTGGTGGAGTTCCGCCCTGACTGCCGCCGTGATTGTGACGCCGCCACGTGTTGAGAGTGTTGGGAGTCGCCGCCGCCGCCGAAGAGAATATAAAGTAAAATCAATTCAACTCTTTCTTGACAACGAACCGGCTATTTTTTATTGTTAATTCACCACACTGACGAAAGGTGGCGGTTTTCTTCATTTCTAACTATAATTCCACACTTCAACTGCACTTTTCCACTTTTCCCACTTTTCTATCAGCCGCCCGCGCTACAAATCCGAGGCAACAGTTTTGTAGCCCTGTCAATTCTACAGCTTTTATGTTTTAATCGTTTTTCTGTATTTGCAAAGCTATAGGCCTGACAGCTCTTCCCGCGAAACCCTTTTTTGGGTCGAAAACGGCAGAACATGACGTCACTCTGACGTCATTTCCGGCCAATCTATCATAGCCTTTGGAAAAATTTTTGGTCACAATGTGTAAAATTGATGTCCGGGAGGGTACTGAAAGTTTGGTGACGATCGGCGCAGCGGTTCTGGAGATATATCGAAAAGTCTGGAGGGGGGGGGGCAAAAAATAGTCCCCCCCCCTACCAGGGCGCGGGTTAAGGAAAAACGGTGTGTTACACGAACAACTACAGGGTGTCCCAAAAGTTTTAACACTTTCTTAACATCCAATAAAATATATATGTGTACACTGAGGCCGTCTATTTACAGGGTGTCTCAAAAGTTCGTTGACAGGTACCAGCCATGCTTTTTTGTCAATAATTCTGAATCAACAATAAATTAACAGTCGAAATTTTGCATGGGCATTGGTAACAACCTTCCTCAGGCAGTCTCATTATTTTCAAGCGCATTCGACCCTTCATGAGCTCACAAAAAGGGTTCATCTCTGACCATGGGTCAAGCATGAAAATGGAGGTCGCAAAATCGGGTCGGCTGAGAAACTCTCTGTTTCAGGAGTAACGGGAATGGGTAAGTCGGAAATGACACATGGCAAAGTGTCGGCGAGGATGAGTACAATGTGATGATCATCTAATAAAAACGGTGGCTAAAATTTTTGAAGGACAAAACCAGGGGGCGTCGAAGTCTAGTTCCTACCAACCTGGCACTCTCATGCCTACGTCACCACGAGGACGCCCGAGGGCATTTACATGTTGAAGATAGGGAAAATGCCATAGTTTAGAGCCGCCTGAAGGGCAACCTTGAGATAGATGATAATGTAAATGTGTGCTAATATGATCATCAACATGTTATTTATCCAAATCCAGGGCCAATTGATCGATAACTTGTCACGTTTTCCAGTGGTGATGCGCTAACTTTCGTGGTTCTTGCAGCCAATAAGGGTGTTTCATAGTGCGATTCAGCCGCATTATCGACTTTATTGCCATAAACCGCCACGGAACATACGATTTGCAGCTCCCTGGCGTTATAGCTGCCAGTAGGGCTCCGGAGTCGGAGTCATGAAGTCGGTCGGAGTTGACAGTTCTGACCTGAGTCATCGAGTCAGAGTCAGAGTCGATTTTAAAAGCTGGAGTCTGAGTCAGTCACCGAAATTTGATCCCCTCCGCAGACCTTTGAGGGTTCCGTAGTCGGAGTTGTAGTCATTTGGAGTTGACAGTTCTGCCTTGCCATTGAAGAATCTACTGATTTTCCTGGCGGCTCTCGTTTTCAAGTAACTACTGGTCTTGTAAGAGCTCTTGATTGCTCACCGTCTGGCGTCTTCCAAGGTTTTCTGAAAGCTGATCAAACGTTACATGGCTGCTCTTCATTGCATGGCGGTTGCTGGTTCTGGGTTCTTAATTAGTGGTTCTTGCGTCTGATGCTGTTGCTTCATGTTCCATCACATCTGACGTTACATTTTCTTCCTTTTATTTCACTATCAGTCGACTTGCATTTACCCCTGTGGCATGCTCGCCCTTTTATTTCCACGCTAGAATCTACCAATTGGCAATTATTGAAAACCTTCGGATAAAAAAGCAAGAAAAGTATGTCAAGTTAAATTGAGACGGTCCTAGAAAACCAGAAAAAAATAAAAAAAGCCTGTCCATCTCACATCCCTCACTTCATAACAAAAACCATGCAGCAAAACATGCGAAAGAGTCCTTAGCCCTGATCGGCGGCCGGCTAGTACTCTTGCCCGCGCTCACATACGTGCACGTTACCCCGGCAACGGGCTATTGGCCAATGAGAAGCGAGAAAAGTGTTACGTCACTGCGATTTTTCATATATCGCCCAGTGTCCTGTGTTATACCTGTGCCCAGTGTCCCAAAATTTGTAGATGTGGGTGGGAAACGACATCAAAATGCAAATCATTTTCCACTCTCGCCTCCAGTTTTCAAGCCCAATTTTCCACTCCCAATCCCACCGAGAAGGAGCAATTGCGGGAATGGTTGTTTTACATCTGTCACAATTGTAGATAGATTAATGTTTTTGATCATTTTCCCACTCTTTTTGGGCCTTACCTGACCGACAATTTTCACTCTCATCCTTTTTTTTTGGTCAGCAATTTTCCCCTCTGACATCCAAGCAAAAATATGATTTTGGTACACTGCCTGTGCCCCCCGGACGTGACGTAGTGTGCTCGCGCGCGTTGCAGGGTCTCTGCGATCGAAAAAGAGCGCTAGCAGCGCGCCACTCGACGCCGCAATTGTCAAAAGTCAAAAGTTAGTATGCTTTATTATGAATGATGTGTGTAAGTGAGTTTTTATGTTGTTTATTTGGAGGAAATGGTTGGAATAAATTAAGTTATTTTTATTTCTGTTGGTTGGAGTTTTTATTCAAAAGATTTCGGTATATACCATTGATATTTACTGAAAATACCTTCGCTTGAATAAATTGCAGATATTTGGCAACTGAAGTGTTAGGTAAGCCTAAATGATATGTAAAAAGGTAAGAGACACCCTGATTATCATTTGAGAAACGAAAATATATGAATTTTCCTTTTAACCCGCGCCCTGCTGGGGGGGGGGGGTGTTTGAACACCCCCCCTTGTGGTTTTTCGCGAATATCTCAAAAACGGCGGCGCGGAGCGCCGCCGTTTTTGGTACACCTTATCATACATCAATTCTACACATGTTGTGAAAATTTCAGACCAAGGTCATTCAAGGTCAGGTCACCAGGTCACTTGAAGTGACCTCAACTCATAAAAACTTTCAATGTCTGTCATAGCTACACCGAGTGACCGATCGCTTTGAAACTTTCAGCGATTGCTAAGAGCAATAGCAAGTACAAAATGTATATCTCAAAATTTTGATATCGATGACCTAAGGTCAGGTCAATTTTGCGACCTCCCCATTATAAGTCAATGGGAGAAAATTGAAATGCGCCTTTTTTGGAGGAAAGACATTATAAACACTCCCAAACACCGAATTACAAGTGGTTTAGACACACTGAACTTGAAAATGGTGTCCGTGACCCTTGTTTATGCCCTGAGGTCATCTTAGGTCACGAATGGTATCTAACAGTTTTTCGCAAATAACTTTTGATAGAGGCATGCTAGAGCGATGAAAACAACTTAGATGTGTTCAGCTCGACGATACGGATCGACTGATATGCAACATGACCCTTCCCGGTCAGGTCATGACCTTGACCTGAGGTCAAATTTTCAAGTTGACCTTTCAAGGTCAAGTTATAGTTCATTCGATGCGTCTTGACGAGAGGAACACGATGCCGGTAAAAGTAAGCTTGTACAAGGCCTGGGTCAAAAGTTATTGCAGAAAAACTGTTTCCGAAAAAATCGGCTATTTTTGCAGTTTTTGCCCCCTGCAGGCAAAACCGTTGACGTTAGGTCAAATCTGAGAGAATTATTCAGAAAGGGCGTTAATAGGGCTATCGAATGCGCTTTTCCGCGGCGCTGTAGCTCTATTGGTTCCCGAGTTATGCGTTGGCTTCTTGGAAGTTTTCGACATTCGACCTGGAAATCGGCGAAATTTTGCCTTCAATGACCTCTGGTGACCTGACCTTTGACCTGACCAAAAAATTGACTGAAGTGATTTCGTCATTATTTTTTACGCTCTTTCGAACGCCGCCTTCCGCGTATCGCTACGTGGCCCAGGAGCCGAGTTACAAGGGGGGGTGTTCAAACACCCCCCCCCCCCCAGCAGGGCGTGGAAATCCAGGACCCCCAGCAGGGCGCGGGTTAAGACTCGCTCAATATGCTACTCCGCAGTTTATGCCCCGAGGGTGTTCGAGGGTTCCCGTTAGTTTGTCGTTGGCGCTCGGCTCGCGCGCGAGCCGACGTCACCGTCTGTGACGTCGGCTCGCGAAATACGTCATACCCTGCACACAAAATAGCCGGCTGCCGAACAGCGCTCTTAGCAACGCATTTGTCTGAAGTGCGCAATATGTGTCACATCTGGAAAATTTAGTAGCTACTTGATTATTCAACTAGAGTTGGACTATATAAGCTAGGTTTTTTTTAGGTAAGCCTAAATGGATGAGCCCGGGATGAGCGACACCACCCGGGCGAGGGGCCACGTGCCCCGGCGTCCTTCGCCCTGCAGCAGGACGACCTGGCCGACCGCGGGCAGGCGAGTGGGGCGGCCGCGCGGTGACGCGGCCCAGCCTCTCAGCGTCTCGAGGTACTCGGTCGTCCACCGACGGACGAGACAGTCACTCACACGGCGCCGGTTACGCCAGGTCCTGCCCACATGGGAGTCAGAGTCAAGACTGGGACAGACCACACCGGAGATGGTGGTAACCCCAAACAACAGGTGAGCAGGGGTAAGTAAATCATCTCCATCACTAGGGGTCAGGGGCCTCAGGTTGAGGTGAAACGCAAGTTCATACAGCGTCACAGCCAGTTCATCATACGACAGGTGGCACTGGTGCAACGTTATCTTCAGGGCGCTCTTGGTCACACCGACGAGCCGTTCCCAGAACCCGCCCCACCACGGGGCGGCCTCGGGGATGAAGCGCCACTTGACTGACCGTGGCACATGACTGACGAGAGCACGGAAAGTACGGGCATTGTCACTGACAATCAGACTGGGCGTTCCTCGCAGGGCCATGAAACGCCTGAGCGCCAGGGTGAGATCAGCGGCACTCTGAGACCGCACCAGTTCCAGGTGGACGGCACGAGACGAAGCGCAGGTAATCAGCAGCGCCCACACTTTGGTGTCTCTATCCACATACAGAGGGCCAAAGTAATCGATTCCCACC